GTCTCAGGTGCTTTCCCAGGATTCAGAGCAGGTGATCGATAAGCTGATAAATTAAAGTAAAAAAATCTGGTTCCTAAATGTTTGGCTGAAGCTTTTATTGGACGACGTGATCGCTGAATCTGCTTTTGATATCCAGGCAGCGATCGAAGCTGTTTGGTTTCCAACACATTTTTGTGTGAGCAAATAAATAAATCAGAAATCAGTACAAAGAGTCATAAAAGCTCATTGTTGCCATGATTTCAGGAGGAAAACCAACATGATCCTGCAGACGCGCTGTACCTGAAGCGTTGTGGGCGTGACACAGCTCGTTGGCCCCGACCTCTGCTTCCAGCGTGACCTTCTGACGTTCGGCGAGGGAGGAGCGGCTCACCACGTCTCCTCCAAACTCATTTTCTGCACAGAGGGAGGAAGGAGAACACGCATCATTAAAATCATTCCCAGAACAATCCCATTCACACACAGAGCCGTGACAGCGTCTGAAATTTCCTCTCCTCCTTTGACTCCGGGCTCATGAATAGTCATATAGCGTCAGCTATGCGGCGCACGCCAAAGCCAACGCTGATTTCCGCCATAACGACGGCCGCTTGTCGTGTGCGATAGGCTTGGCAACATGGGGTAATTAGCTAGATCTATCATCTGCTGCAGGAAGTGGGGACAAATATAGCTAATGATCCGTGCCTGCCTCCATGATTCCTCTCCTCGGCTCTCCATCCTCTGCTGAGCTCGAGGAAGAGGAGGCAGAGAGGGGGGTCCCCGCTCTGTCGATGGGAAAAAAATGACCCGAGATGGAGAAAGGGAAGAAGACGGAGGAGACGGAGGTGTGAGGGAACATGTCAACCCTCCCTCCGCCTGTCAATGCTCCTCCATCCGCTGCAGCTAATTGAGAAAACGTATGGAAGGAGAACAGATGAGGTGTCGATGGTGTGTAGAGTGAAGGCCCCCATAGGGAGCGCAGCAGACGGCCGTAACACACACACACACACACACACACACACACACACACAC